ACTATTGGTCGCGGATCTATCACTAACACTCGTAGATGTGATTGGTGGAATGATAGATTAGCCGAACTACGTAGAAGCTACCGGAAAGCTCGTAGAAAATTAAACACTATTAAAAAACATAACGTAACAGGAGATTTGTACAACAATGCTCTCATTGCTCTTAGAGTTGCCAGGTCCCACTACAGAGCTGCTGTGGAAAAATCCAAGGGAAACTTAATTCAGAAACTTGTTGATAAACTCGATAGAGAGGGCCCGTGGTCACCTTTGTATCACGAATTTAAGGCAAATAGATCAATCGACCTTGCATACATACAGAACATCAAAATTAATAACAGATATACCACAGGAGTAGAACAAACAGCAGAATATCTTTTAGACTCACTCGTACCTGACGATCGACCGGAAAACGACACTGGTCATCACCGACAGATCAGGCAGTGGGCCATCGAACCACCACTGTCTCCAATGTCTGATTTACCATCTTCAGACGAATTTCTCAGTATCATTAGATCCTTGCCGCTAAACAAGGCTTCGGGCGATGATAAAATATCTAACAAAATGATAAAAGAAGCTTGTAAACTTTCGGGTGACACGATTTTCACTGTCTTTAAACGTTGCATTGCTGAAGGAATATTTCCTCGTATATGGCGGTGCGGTAATATTCGTATAATACCAAAAAGTGGCGACAAGCCACCGGATGATCCTAAATCCTACCGACCAATCACATTATTACCATCGTTAGGAAAGCTTTTAGAACGTCTTGTAGTGCCCCGGCTTCTGCCAGGTGGAGTCAAATTTCATGATAGACAATTTGGATTTACGTTGGGTAAATCGACAACTGACGCTGTTATATCGGTTAGAAAGTTTGTCACAGAGTCAACATTTCAATACGTGCTGGCTATTTTCTTAGATATATCTGGCGCCTTCGACAACGCATGGTGGCCCATGCTGTTGCTGAAATTAAAATCACGGGGGTGCTTTAAAAATATTTATTCCCTTATCTCTTCGTACTTTTCACAAGGTACAACTAAACTAAGACTTGGTCATCATTCTGTGTCGAAGGCGCTTACAATGGGATGTCCTCAGGGATCGGTGCTAGGTCCATACTTGTGGAATATCGGCTTCGACGATTTTCTTGCGATACCAATACCATCCGGATGTACTCTGAACGCGTATGCTGATGACGGCTTATTACTGGTGGAATCTGATACTAGGGCGGGGCTTGAGAGATTAGCCAATAGATGTTTGAACTTGATATCTCAATGGGGTGAACGTAATCGCTTAACTTTTGCACCCAACAAAACCTTCCAGCTACTCTTAAAAGGTAACCTCAAATCACCGCCGAGCATTAGATTTGACAATGTTACTGTAAAAAATAAAACCACAGTGTGTTATCTAGGATTAGTTTTAGAAAGAAACTTTTCATTTATCGAACATATTAAAATAGTTAATGAAAAGTCTAAAAAGAGTTTCTGTGCATTGACAAGGATATCAACTGCGACATGGGGTCTATCATTTAATACATTAAAGATCATATACGGAGCTACTTATTTAGGTTCTATGTGCTATGGTGCACCTGTATGGGCCGATAGGGCGACCGTAGGCGCTGTCCGTCGCAAACTGTTACAAGGTCAACGACTTGCACTGATATTCTTGTGTAAGGCATATAGGACGGTTAGCACTGAGGCTTTGCCGGTGTTGGCGGGTGTGCTTCCGGTCGATCTCGAGGTGCAGAGACGTGCAGCCATGTACTATTCAAGACAACAAAACATGGAATGCGATTTTTTGGGCGCGCGGGATCGCGGTAAAATTACAAGATTGCTTCAACAGCAGCCCGATGTCTATAATGACCTCATAGACGAATGGCAACAACGCTGGGATGAATCATCCAAGGGGCGCCATCTTTACCAATTCTTTCCATCTGTTCGCGAACGGTTGTCGAGGATATGGCTTGAGGTGGATCACTGTGTCGCTCAATTTCTTACGGGTCATGGTAACTTTAAGAGCAAGCTTTATTCATTTAAATTAGTCGAGTCACCATTGTGTCAATGCTCAACACCTAACTCTCACTATGAACAGTCTGCTCATCATATCCTCTGGGAATGTAGTCTTTGGTATAATGAACGTAATATAATGCTGAATAGCTTGCAGGTGACATCTGGGGCGGTATACTATGGGGATCTTGTGTCAACTGGGGTGAATTTCCGTGCGTTTAGGCGATTCTGCCATACATATTATAGAAATCAAACATAGCTCACGTAGGACCCGTAATATTTGTGGCCGTGGTGCTTCCCTGTTTAAAAGGGTGTATGCCCATTTTACTTCATTTTGTCTCCCGCTTTGCTAAGGAGGGAAGTGGATTTACTGTATTTCCAACTCCTCCAATTTTCTTCTGATTAATTTCGTTGCGGGTTCCAAGACAGTTTAATTTCTTCCTGGGACTTCCCGAGTGTCATAACTCGGTGTGTTCGTGGGTCACTGCTGTGGATCCTGGTGCACAGGAGTTACAGTGGTGGGCGTGTGGGTGGGATTAGTCCCAAAAAAAAGGCCGACAATGTTCTTTGCAAGGCATATGGATGGTTAGCTCTGAGGCTTTGCCAGTGCTAGCGGGTGTGCTTCTGGTTGATCTCGAGGTGCAGAGACGTGCAGCCATGTACTATTCAAGTAATAAAATGTAATTCGATAAAATCACAAGATTGCTTCAACAGTAGTCCGATGTCTATAATGACCTCATAGACGACTGGCAACAACGCTGGGACGAATCATCTAAAGGGCGCCACATTTACCAGTTCTTTTCATCTGTTCGTGAACGGTTGTCTAGAACATGGCTTGAAATGGATCACTGTGTCGCTCAATTTCTTACTGATTTCTTACTAAAAAGTCATAGACATGACAAGTATAAAACCGTACATCGTTACTGCATTGAAAGATGAGTAAACCTTTGGTCTGGGAAGCAATTTGCATCGACATCCTTGCGCCATCACATGTTCCAAGCACAGCTGGTTATTCTGACGAATAATAAAATACCAAAAATTAGTAGGTAATTTGATTCTTGAACCGTTTTTGTTCGAGACTAGGGTCATGGGGTCCGAATGCTCGTGCTATGTATAAATAACTAACTAAGCATTCAATGTGGCGCTGGGAACGCTGCCAGTAGACGATGATGCGGAAGAATTTTTGATGCTAGTATGTAAATATTGTAAATATTTTAATTGTATTATATATATATATATATATATATATATTTTAAATTAATTTATAAAAAAATATATATTTAACTAATATACTAATACTAACTAATACTAATACTTAACTAACCTTTATAATAAAATATCGTAGAAAAAAAAACATGATTGATAGTAATTATTTTAATTTACATACATATATGACCATCAGATGAATATCAAAAATTTAATTATTGATTTTGGAAATTATCCCCTACATCCAACGTTACTCTTGTGGAGAGCAAAGAACTTGAAGAGGAGCGACTCTGCACTTAAAAATTAATCAAAGGATATGAAGATGCCGCTGCTTGTTTCTATAGCTCTCAAATTTGAAACGAAGCGCTAACTTCACTTGACTTTCTTTCACTTCTGTTAAGGACGCGTTTGAAAATGTTTCTTATTTGAGCAAATCTTACTAATTTTATTTCTAATATAAATATTCTTCGTACTTTTCCAAGCACCGAGTAAACAATATTTAGAGTAATTGAAATAATAGGGTATTTATGACACTAATTATTATTATCAATTTTTTTTATCTACATCAACGTCCTCTGTTATTGTCTCTTAATCTAATGGTTAAAAAGGGCAATGAAAAAAATTATTATCTCGTATAATAATTTCATTAATACACATACTCTGCAATAATGATGGACATTTTGAATACATTTTTTAATAGGTAACATTTAGCTTGGTGGTTTAGGAACGTTTTCACTGAGCTTTATTTTAGGAGTGTTACGAAAAAAGATTAATGTATTGTGTTCGCAACGTGAACGGGAAAAGGAAGCGAAGACAAAGGGGCGTTATAAATGAAATCTTCACGTGTTAGGTCAGGTGCCAGGTGACACGCGTGACTAGAATTTAACCCAGACACTGCAATTGTGTGTGGATAATCTCAGTTTCGGTTAATTCGGTTCCACTTTGAAAACTATTGTTGATGTTATTTAAAATGACCAAATAAAATATAATGTAATATTATTTTCTGCTTGAAAAGTTTTCACTATCGAAAACATGCAATGTTGGCTAAGGTGTTGGCCCTTGGTCTTGAACAAACATAACTTATGTTACGATGACAACTTGTAATCGATCGTACATTAGTTTATCGTTATCGTTATATATACATCTTCATCATTATCTATATATACGTGAAACTAATTCTGTATGCCTATCATAAAGAAGTAATGAACACGACAACAATGAAATTGCAATCCTTATGTTCATATGTTGAAGAAATTTAGAAAGCTAAAATTCCACTAACAATACACTCTAATATTATAAAGGCTAAACTTTTTTTATGTGTGTATGTTTTTTACTTCTTCACGCTTAAAGGGCTAGACCAATTTTGAAAAAATATATTAGAGAACCACTTTTCCGCGATAAAAAGTTGTCTATGTGTAATAGACAATTTTTTATCCAGAAAAAAAATGTATTGGTATGATCAAGAAATTTAAAGAGATCTGATAACACGGACACATAACGGGTAACACCGCGGAGAGCAGCTATTGTAAAATGAAGTTAAGAATGATGTAAAATCGCCTACATAAAAGTATATGGACCAAGTATTGATCTGCCATTGTATTTACAAGCCTATACAGTGACAGTTCAATTTATACTAGAATCACTGAAATAAAACATTCGAATAGCTACAATTCGACCGCCAGGCAGTCTTAAGTTTTTATAAACTACTTAAAACATAGAAATAAGTAAATCAAAATTTTTAACTATTCTCTACAAATAATATTTTTACCTTTATAAATGTATTGTTTAACTTGTCAACAGACAGCAACTTCGTCTTGGGCAATGCGCAAGTGCCGTCATACCCGATTGTGTATTGTTCGGATGGATTCTGCGAGCTGACAGGATGGGCGCGCGCGCATATCATGCAAAAGGGCTGCGCGTGTAAATTCCTACATGGACCAGACACAAGAGATGAACATCGGCAAGAGATCGATTCGGCGCTTGAATCCAAACATGAACTTAAACTGGAGCTCATATTTTATAAGAAAAGCGGTATGTATTTCTTGAAAACTCACTGTTCGGGGTATTAATCAGAATGCCAGGTGTCACGTACCTTACAACTAGCTTTCATCATCATCATCATCAACAGCCTTTACTAGTCCACTGCTGGACATAGGCCTCTCCTTAGAAAGGAGGTTTTGGCCTACTATACCACGCTGGCCAGACGGGTTGGTAGAGGGTTTGTTTTAAGTTTTCCTTCTCTTTGCAATGCTGTTATGTAGTTTACTCCCTTAGTCGGCTCTTACTACACCCACGGGATGAATAGGGGTACTAGCTTTAATGTATCTTTTCTATGAGAACCATTACTCTACTAGTAACAATTAATAAATTAACGGTAGGCATTCTGTGAGAGATCGGTGTCTCCAACACAGCGGGAGGATACCGACCAGGCTAAAGGCCTGGTAGGTTTAATTTGAAGGTAAATGATGCACATAATAAAATAATCTTATTCAAGTAAAACACTCACTTGCGGTAAAATAAATTTAATTTCTTATTTCTAGAGGACTTCTCCACTCAACCATCATATCTTTTCGCAAAGCAGTCCGCCACAGTCGTAAACAAGCACCAATAAGAACTTTACGATTCCATTCGACAAAATTAAAATTTTACAAGCTTCCAGTTGTTTGTCGTCAGCAGTATTTACTATCCAATGGGATGACACAGCGAATCTGTATTAGAGAATGCTTTACATTGTAGACTCACATACATTTCAAAGACAACAACTCTTGGCGATTACCATTAAAACTCAATTGCAATACGAAAAACTAATAAATCAACCACCTCTTACTGTCATAGAAGTCTTCAAAACTCAAGGATTATTCTTTTCTAAGCTGGTGGTAATTGTTTCAGCAATGGTTAACGAAAATTGATGGTTCATACATAATTCTATGTAACTCAGCGTTCGTTTCTTTCTTTGAATCTGAAATTGACATTGATTAAACTTAACAGGCTCTCCATTTTGGTGTTTGCTCGACATCGTTCCAATTAAAAATGAGAAACGAGAAGTGGTTTTATTCCTCGCCTCCTTCAAGGATATCACCAACACCAAGATGGCCGCCATGAACACTAATGAGAACTTTGACAGCGGTAAGTACTTTTGTTAAGGTGATACTTAAAACTCCTTAAGAAAACGCAAACAGCAAGAATTTATATGAGTACCTTTCAAATAGTGGCCTTGAAACGAGGTGATATTAATAATGCGTTGTTTTTCAAAGATGTTGGCGGTTCTGTATTCACATTAACCGTACTGAGCACGTTATTTTAGTGCTATAGGTACATCTGTAAGGTTGATAGCATTAGATTGAGCTCCCGTAACTCCCAGTTGCCTAGCAAGTTGCGAGCATCACCGCACGGTAAAGTTCCTTTAAGACTATTTCCATCATATCCTCTTTGTAGATTTATTAAACTAGACTGTAGATAGTCAGGCAATAAGTCTGAGTAGATAGAAAATAGATTTAGTATGTTAACACTGTATATTTTTTTATCAATATATTCTTGTACTTCTTTAAACTCATTACATAACCATACGTTTTGAGTTAAGGACGACTTAGCACCGCTGAAGGAGCTCATTGCAATGTAGGTGTTAAATGATATTTAAACTAGGTTTACATATTTTATTTAGTTTTAATTTTAATAACACTTACTCTTTGTCTTAGATGTAGAATATTCGATTTAAGTCTTAGATTTTCATCAATAGTGTATGCTTCTTGTTCGATAACTACCACATAATCTATGAAATTCTGTGTAACAGTACATATAATTTGGTAGTGAACAATTTGTTAACGTTTGAAATTAGTTCCTCACGATACTAACAATGTTGAATAGAACTTGAAGCATAGACTGTTTGTTCGAGAATTCAAATAGCCTTTGAATAAGATAAACTTAAATATTGTAATAACTAAAACCACCCTGTATTTCGATGTAATCATTAAGCAATAATAATTAAATGATCTCTTAACGAAGCCCTTTACATTTATTTCGAAATTAATTTAATATGTCGCCAGTTTGCATTTTTTTTATTTTTTGGATCCGTACCTTACGCCATACTTGTATGTTCAGATATTTATACACATACTTTTCTTGTATACTATATGTTTATAACTGAGATAATACAGGTAATATTTGAGATACTTCTAATTATACACATGTTACATAGTCTCAACGAAAACTTAGGTTTTTATTTAATGTGGATATGGTGCGTTTCCCCGGCTACTCGGACATAGATATTTTCTGTACTAAACATAGAAAAAGTCCAAACGTAATCTTTATTCGTCATTACATCAGATGTTTGGTGCAACCAAGAATAATCTGTGTCGTTACGGATGTTGTAAAACAGATTAAATTATTATATTAGTTACGGAAGACACTATCCGTTTCTGATAACTTGTTGTAGAAAATGACGTAAAACATATCAAAATATAGAATATTAGTAAAAAAAATATATTTTAAGCATCTGCTGAGTATTTTGTTGCAATGTTTGCTCAATGAAAATTTCCTGTATTATCTCAAAATACCATGCTGTACATGCCGTTTTACTTACTATTAGACAACTTGTTAAATTAAGGTGTTTAGTATAGTGTATGACTAGTTAATTTTTTCCAAAATAAAACCTTTACGTATCATTGACACATATACCTACTCAACACCTGTTATTTTTAACACGCTTTTATTGGCTTGGTACTCGTATATATGTATTTATGTAAAGGAATCTGCGAACCTGATTTTGACCTACTTCAAAACGTCGAATTAAATTGAAACTTCGCACACTTATCAAGGACCGATGACAATACAATAATTTGATAAATTTGGCCAATTATCCTGAACAGAATCTTCAGGATTAACGGTTTTTTCCTATGCCTATACCTAAAAATACGGTAGTATCCTTAGCTACATATGGCGCTTACTTTTTTGTTACTTTTGTAGTTATAATGAGAAACAAATCATCATTAGTGACTCAAAAAGTAAAAATAAATCATAGTTTAAAAAACTAAAAACATGTTTTTATAACTAGCCGAACTAAAAGTAGAAAATAGTTTTCTATAAGTTCAAAAAGAAAAATAATTTTTCCGTAAAAAAGCGTGGTGTGCTTTTCAAGATATTTTATTTTATAAAAACTTTGCTTTTCCAATATCTGTCAATAAAATATTTTACGCATTTATACGATAAAATGATTTTTCTTTTTGAACTTATATAAAATGATTTGCTACTTATTAGTTCGGCTAGTTGCGAAAGCGTGTTTTTAGTTTTTTAAACTATAATTTATCTAGTTGTTTTAGTATAAACTACTTCAGCGTGGAACATTTTTTAAAGCAATCTTAGGCAATGAAATGCTAATGTACCACAATGTTTAGTATTGCTTAAACTTTGTTCTGCACTCTATTTATTGTTGGTGGATATTTTATGTTATAAAAGCTGATTTGATATTTAAAAAAAACGGAAACCTAATGCTTTCTTTTATCCAGTAAGTTTATTATCTATATGGAATAATACAGTCTTGGATAAAGAATGCGGTTGTATTATAATAAGTAATAGCGAAAAGTTTTTGAAGCCAGTAAAGTTGAAGTTGTCTGCAAACTTGGGTTTAAACAATCCATTACTTCTCCAGGGCTGGGTATTTCCATTTCTTTGTTTTGTTATAATGGCATTTTGTAACAAGTTTCACGTAATACTAGTATGTTATCTTTGCCCATGAATGTACGATATACCAACGTTTTTCTTCCAAAATTTAAATTACGTTTTGCTTATGAATTATGGGTAGATACCTACTCCTTATCAAACTGATTATTTATTTTAAATGTAAAAGTTGCATTGTACGCTTGGTACTTGCTTTATTTTATTTCTGGCGAAATTATGCTATTGATATATGGCGAAAGTTCAATATCTAATTAAAATAAAATATTAAGTCATAAAATTTTATTGCGGTACATTTATTCATAAAATTAAAGACGCCTGAATCAAAAAATCTCAAAGACAGTAATCTCCGGATTTCAAATAATATCGATTTCACTTACTTTGAACTTTCGTTGTATTAAAGCAATACTACAGCCTACTTATAAGATTTTCTTATTTAACATCTGGAAAGATAATTCTCGTATCCAATATACGATATGAATATTACAATATAGCAGAAATGTTGCTATAATTAAAATACGCGAGGAATATTTTTCGAGTGTCGTTATAAGAAAATCGTATTTGGGGCATATTTTTCTTACGGCATAAGTAGATAATCGTAGCTGGTACGTAGCCAGTCGTGCAGTGTGTAACAGGGTGGTTTATGCATGCAGGAGCCGCGGTGCGGCCTTCGGCTGGCGTGGTCACTCTAGCGTTATCCCCATTTGTACCCGCAGCGGCACTCTTGGGCGCCCGGTTCCGCGCTGAATCTAGTTGCCTACTTCCAGACCCGAATGGCAATCTTGATCCTGAAGCGCCGTCGCCCGCTAACATGGGCAGGCGACGTTCTAGGGCGGTACTATACCAGCTTTCAGGACACTATAAACCAGATAAAATGAAGACTAAACTAAAACTCAACAATGTTAGTAAGGTAAAATTTGTTTACTACCGTGATGCCTAAACATACTGAAAGTAATGAAATAGATAAGATTACATTGTGTATGTGGAACACCCACACCTGTATTTCCCAGTGCTATTTTACACGTTAAAATAAGGTGTTATCTTCTATAGCAAGTCTTAAACAAAGATTAATAAATTATTCTTTATATTCTGATCTTATCTCTAATTTATGTCATAATAGGCTTTACAGCATACATTTAAAAACATCATTTTCAATTTCGAAGCAGTATTTCTTAAATGAAATTATAATTTTGAAGTCAAAGTTTCCAGTTTACAGAATTCATATTTACTACTGACTATGACGTGATGTTAGATGAAATTCTAGATATGATGATTCTGTGTTATATACTTACTAATACATTCTGAAAGTAAACAAGGTGGCAAAATAATTAAGGTTTGTCTAAAATTGGGTTACCCACTTTACCCGAATTAAGTATATTTGCTTTAGTGAGATGCGGGTCCGAATTTGTACGAAACTAAATTTTACCAAACCAACCATCTGACAAATATTTATTCCGTATTTGGAATTAGTTCCAGACGATGAACTTTCTCAATTATTTGAATATTAGAACAGATCCCTTCTCCCACGTAGAACATATATCAGAAATATATAATAATACTTGGATGCTCATGGGGCCTGGATTTATTTGGTAGTTTATACAAAATAAAAATACTCTAATGTGTGTAAAACTTCACGAATTGTAGTGAAAATTACTATTAATAACTTGAAAAATAATCATTACAATAGTTAAAAATATTCTAAAAAGAGAAGTGTTCTTAATGAACCATTTATACATATACTGATAATATACTCATCATATTCAACAGCCTTTAATAGTCCAGTGCTGGACATTGACCTCCCTTAGAAAGGAGGTTTTGGCCTAATATGACCAGACGGGTTGGTATAGGGTTTGTTTCTTATTCTTTCATATTTGATCGAAGATTATAAATAATTGTAATTGTTACTATTGATCACCTTTTTTCATATTTACGCGTATATTCTATTCTTTACTATGCAAAGAACCGTAGTCATTATTACATTTTTATATCAATGTAGGTAATAAAATTGAAGTCGTCTTTCAGAATCTTTTGCACTCATCAGACCCTCCGCTGCCCGAGTACAAAACATCGGCGCTCAAAAGGTCGAGATTAATAATATCACACTATGGAGTATTTAAGACATTTTGGGACTGGCTTATCCTTATAGCTACATTCTACGTGGCTGTGGTGGTACCCTATAACGCTAGTTTCGTAGACCCAGGACATCCTAGAATAAGCGTTACTAGTGACGTCGTTGTGGAAGCGCTCTTCATAATCGGTAAATGACCATAGATTAAATAGTTCGAGAGATAGGATACAAAGCATGTCAAGAGGTATACACAAACCATAACAGAACTTTTAACATATATAAAGGATTCCAAAAAAAAATACTTTTGTTTGGAACAAGTGTCTCCACACATTCTTTCTTTGGTTTTTTATGTGGTTTAAATAATTTTGTAAATGAGTAAAACGGAATAAATATATATATACAGGGTTACTGTTTAAGTCGACCTAGATACTTTAAGGGATTGTAGTTACATCATTCCTGATAGATTTCACAATGAAAAACTATATCCCAATCCTAACCATTTTCAACATATTGGACTTTTAAGCATTTAGTGGACTTAATCAGTAACCCTGTATATACCTATGGCCATTAGCACACGGCGTGTGCTGAACTAACCCTACTCGCATAGATTTAGTATGTTTTTACTACATACAAACAAATAAGGCAAGGTATGGCTTTTCAATAAGATAGACAAGACATTGTGTATTTCTTATATTTCACTCGTTTTTGTCCAAGTCTCTCGAGATATTTCAAGTTGAAATAGTTAAGTTATTCTACTACACAAAATAAAAGCCTTTTCTCAAAATGTGCCCTGACATCTGGTCTGATTAAATAATCTATGTTGATCGCTCTACATGCAGTCATGTATCCCATGTAATGGAAAATGTAATTTATTTTTCAGATATAGTGCTTAATTTCCGAACAACATTCGTAAGTAAGAAAGGTGAAGTAGTGTCTGATTCTAAGGCCATAGCCCTTAATTACATCCGGAGTTGGTTTGTGGTGGATCTGCTGGCTGCACTCCCGTTTGACCTACTTTACGCATCTGACGTATATAGCGGAGCGGTAAGTACACGAATTTTAAATAATAATTTTAATTTGTCACACATAGTTAGATCTAGGTATATACTTATATGAGGAAAGTGTTTTTTATCTATCAGCAGCAGGCATTGAGGTTGCCTATGAATCAAATATGGAAATAAAATAACAATTGAAAAAAAACAGTGGTTTTTTTTAATTCTACGCCAGGAGCTTTATAACTTGATATAGTTGTATTGATTTTGCGGCTCAGCAATTTTAAAATTACACGGGCATTACTTTCTTTATTTTCTACATTCTGAATCTGAGCGGTACTTAGGAAAATTGACATATGACAATTCGGTCTAACGCAATAGTGTATAAAGTGACACCACTTATGTTCTTATCCATTCACGTGGAACTGTACTGATTTGTATGGGAAATTAATTTTCTAAATGCTTGATTTTTGAAAAATTAAATTAGGTAATCATACAAAGTTAGGTAAAATTAGGTATTCAAAACTGGCCCAAATGCTTTCAAGTACAAACAACAGTTTCAAATTTCAAAATATACAGTTTAATTTGTTGATTAGCGTAATTACATCTCGTACAATGTTTATACAGGAGTCGACGCATGGCAACGTCCATTTGGTAAAATTAACAAGACTGCTGCGACTCGCCCGGCTGTTGCAGAAAATGGATCGATACTCACAGTACTCGGCTTTGATACTGACGCTGTTAATGCTCTCTTTCACTTTACTCGCCCATTGGCTGGCTTGCATTTGGTTTATTATAGCTGACAAAGAAATCGAAATCCATAAAGACGAAGTCTGGGATTTAGGTAATTGTTTTTTTTTATTGGATTTTATTTACGTTACCTACTTTCAAGTTACTCATTCGCATTTGAAGGCATTGTATACACACTGTTATCTACAGAAATTGGTAGGTATAGTGACGTTTTGTAACATTCATGTTAAGAAGAACTTCAGAAGCATCATACTTCGGGAGTTTGTGACTGTCCAGGTTGTAGTTGTATTATGCAACCACATTTGCTACAAATGATATTAGGGTAACCCTCTTAAGAGACGTGTAATTTTGTATGATCAGTTTCACTCTAACATTATTTAATCAGTTACATTATTAAAAATGTCTTGTATGTTTGTAGTGTTATTAAAGTATTCATAAAACAGAGGCAGAGTTCAATTCAAAGAGAAATCTGAAAGGTTTTCCCAGCCTAAATATTGAATAAGTGTAAATAAAAATTAATCACTCACTATCAAACGTAGTGTAGGTTGTGTTTGTGTGTGTTTGAGTGCTAAATTCCTTCTTACCGTTTCGTATAACTATTAATATTAATGTGTTTATTTTAGGATGGATAAACGCCTTGGCGGAAAGGCTAAAGGTACCCATACCGAATATATCGCATAGTGAGAGCTATGTGACAGCGCTATATTTCACCTGTTCCTCGCTAACAAGCGTCGGCTTCGGCAACGTTTCTGCCAATACCTTGGCCGAAAAAATATTTAGTATTATCACTATGCTGATTGGAGGTATGACCATATTTTCCTGTTCTTAAGGCCTAAAAGTCTTTATTGCGTTTTTATTTCAACACATAAAATGGTATCGAATAGTAGTAATACTTACATAAAAGTACTAAATAAAATATAAATCACACTTCAGTTGATTTATTGTAACTTGTAAAGATTACGTTAAAACTTCTTCATGAATGAAGTACATGATAAATGTTAGACATAAAAAGGATAGCACGAAAGAGATAAAAGACTTTAAGTTACGTAGTAATTTGTTTCACCAGAGTGTTATAAAAACATTGGATTTTACGCTAAAATCTTTATCTGAACGAATACACTAAAAGTTTGGAGAATAAATTGGTTAGGTTTTAAATTGGTTTTAATAAGAATCTACTATTTTCCGATAGGATAGGATAAGCTGTTAAATTAATTGTGTCTAGACAGCAGCCAAATCTGTCGTCGTTCGCCATCGATTACATATCGCGTTTACATTTCATTTAAACTCGTATAGCTTATGTAGCTTGTATAGATATGCAATATGTATATAAATTGCTCGGAGTATATCTGTGCTATTGTACAATCCGAGTACGAAATGCATCAATGCATGTCAATGGACCATTCGCAACTATTGACAAAAGTTGTGAATCAACGTACTTCAATATTCTAATGGTTTGTTTTGTTGCGAGCTTTTTCCTTAAATTCTATGATACAGTTTCCGTATGTAATTTACAATAAAAGAAAGTTTAAAATTTACAATTGACCCGGTGTATTTAATTTGTCCAAAACAGGATCGTCAACTCATCTAATTTCATATCTTTATCAGAATTAACTTATAAAGGAGCGTTTATGATTTTAAGATTAAGGAAAGGAGGATCAGTACGATGGAGGAGCGTTAAAACGAATTTACTCTCAAGAGTCTAGTTTTCTTTAACTTTTTACTACCAACAAGATTTTGTTAATGTTGAACCGCATTTTCTAAAAAAAAAATGGTGTAAATGTACCTGTGACGCAATGTCGCAGGGGGTATGTTCATCATCATCTTTAATATCATTTACGGGTATATGAAGGGATATGCGTCATCTAATATTACATTTTCTGCTGGCAAGCTAAAGAGATTAGAGAATAAAGGACTAAGAGAATAATATAAAATAAAGTGGTAGTAAGTGAAACATATTTAAAACTAACATTACAATAATTGAAGCGCGCCAAATTCTTTGTATTACACAATTTATAATATTTATAATTCTTTATATTACACAATACAAGTTACAAATTTAAATTGAAAAGAACATTGTAACGTACCACTTCACACTACAAAAATGGTTACTATTTAATCAAATAGTAGTTTGACAATTAACTGCACAGCAGTTAACACCACAGTTTTGTAGTTTAATGTAAATTTCGTTTCAGCACTCATGCACGCTGTGGTTTTTGGTAATGTAACCGCAATAATTCAACGGATGTACTCCCGACGGTCTATGTATCAGAGCAAGTGGCGTGATCTGAAAGACTTCCTGTCGATAAACCAAGTCCCAAAAGAGTTGAAGCAGCGTATGGAAGATTACTTCCAAACTATGTGGTCTTTAAACCACGGTATTGACATACACGAGGTAATAAATTAAGAATTAAATTTGAGCGTGAGATAGCATTATTATAAATATTAAATCCACGCTACCATGTGCTATATTTAATAGAAAAGTGTACAAAGTTTTTTTTTTTGTATATTAATACAGATTTATTATCAGCTTTAAGTTAAGCAGTGAGCGTGAGATAGCATTTTTATTAATATTAAACCCACGCTACTATGTGCTATATTTAATAGAAAAGTGTACAAAGCGTTTTCTTTTTTTTGTATATTAATACAGATTTATTATTAGCTTTAAGTTAAGCAGTAGACATAGCTAAGATGATGATTTTTTTCACTGTAGAGATATTTACTTATGACAATCCACTTATGAGTATGAAAGATATAATAGTACACCTCTAACTTAAGAAAATTGTAATAATAAAAGTGTTTCCATACATAACTAGTCCGTTGGCTGCATTAAATGTATCAACTTTTCAGGGACAGTTACCAGGCTCGAAGAAGTTTTCTCTAAAACCAAAATAAAACACCTAACCTTCTGTGCTTCACTTCTAAACATTCCACAGCCCTTTACATTTTTTCCATTCACAGCAACGCTATTTCGATTTCTTTATCCCCTTGTACTAGATTAAAAACAATTTCTTAAACTCCAAATGCACGATACTCCATTCTTAATTACAGATATACATAAAGAACAATGGCAGAAACATATTTACCTAAAACTGAAGCGTTTAAAAAATTGACTAATAGTAAACTTACTACATATTTTTTCTATGATTTATCATTATACCGCCATGTGTTGTATAAGTCTAATAAGAGATTGGATATTTTTAAAGATTTTATTTGACCTAAGTACGTAATGTCAGAATCGCCATCACGAACTGACTAGGGATGCGTGATGACATTATTATATTATGGAACGTTTTATCGATGATCGATTGTTATAACTTTGGCTTGAAATATCTATCGAAGTTTTACATATTATGATTATGAATTTGCTTCTGCCCACGGGTTTACTCATACGCTATCGTAACTAGTACTGTAGTGACTAAATCAACCTAATTAGAAATAATTTAGAATATTTTTTACTCTTTTTAAAAGATTTTTGCTACACCAAAATAAATAGAATATAGTTACGTTATTTTCCTACAGAAAAATACTAAAACAATATACTGGTTAGTGTGATGAGAAAAAGACATTGTAGGTTGATAACGGCACATAAATAGACATATATCGATATTTTTAAAATGTCGATACGTCGTCGTCGCACTTACTAGTCTTGTCGTTTGACACTTACACGCATGACTTACATTCCATTTCTCACAAGGCAATTGTAGTTTGTTTGGTTGTTTCACTTTTGTTTAGTATTAAACTCTCATATATGTTTATTTTAATTTTAATTTCATATAGTGTTACTCTAATATGAATGATGTGATGCCTTAAAATGTTGTGCATTAATCTCAATAAAATGGATGCATGCTTTTAGTAAATAATGTCACAACTACTGACTGTTGAATAACTAAATAAATAAATAAATGCTCCCGCCTTGTTTAAATGTGTATTGAAGTACATTTATTCAAATTATTATAATTAATTTATTTATTTATAGCTAGTATTACACCTGCTGTATTCAATTGTTTACCAATAGATGCCAAGCAAATACCCTTCTTTCCTTCACCCATTTAGAGAGTCGGCTAACACTTTCTACAGCAAAATAGGGTTGCTTATAAGTAATAATAATGATGAATAATATTTTCGAATATATGACACACAACGCCATCTAGTTTCAAACAAAACATTGACAATATTTTAGTACTTAACCTCAAAACATTCAAAAGCCAATATCTTTTTTCCTAGACTACTTTCGCTAGTAATTTTTTTATGAGAATGTTCAAGAATAAATTCTCAAGGGTTTTAGGCATTTTTGATATTTAAACGCTGTCATTTCACTTCAAATAAAATTATGTATGGGGATCTGCCATTGTTCTTTTAGCTTTGAATATTTATCTTCAAGAGATTAGGTTTCAAAATCAAAAGGAAATATTAAATGAAGATCCGCAGTATAAGATAGCAGTAACTTTGAAGTTAGTCCGAATATCAACTAAGCTAAATGAGTTGGAAACGAAATACTCGTATATCTTACGGAACCTGTACCTCTCATAAGGAACTCAATCAGTTTAAGACTTAGCATTTTTTGAAATCTCATCTACATGTAATGAACATATTTGAATGTAGATCCATTTAACTGTGAATGAGCATTTGAGAATATGTTTTATTTATTGCCGCCGTAGACGCTGAAAGAATTTCCTGAGGAGTTAAGAGGCGACGTGTCACTACATCTGCACCGTGAGATATTATCCCTTCCTATATTTGAATCGGCATCTCAGGGATGCCTGAAACTTCTATCCTTACATATCCGGAACAATTTCTGCGCCCCTGGCGAGTATCTCGTCCACAAAGGGGATGCCCTGACATACGTTTACTATATATGCAATGGATCAATGGAAGTGATGCAAAATGAGATGGTTGTTGCTATATTAGGTACGTATTATTCTACCTTGAGTTGTGTTTATTTACAGGTATTAAGTTGTAAAATTAAAAAGTGCAGGACTTAAAAGAAATGCACTTGTATTATAATTAAACTTGATTTGTAATTTATTATGTGTGAGTGTATTGTAAAAAAGATTTTTGAAATTCAACTTATTGATAAAATATTTTTTAACACAAGTCAAATTTACCGCCTTAAGTAATTTCAATACAAAAACTTTAACTTCTTTATCAAGCAAAATGTTTTTTTGCAATTTCCTTGCACAGTTTCTAGATATTTCAAAAAGAGTTCTAAATATTTCCACACGTATTCGATCAATCACAATCCTTAGAATCTTAAATAAATCATTTACTTGTAAAACTTTACGACCAAAAAGAGTGATCAAAATATAATACAGGGAAATACCAAAAAAAAATGGTGGGTATGTGTTATATAGTGTTGTATGTCTGTATATGTAAATGAACATCTTGACATTATTTATTATTGATATAAAGGCTAAAAAGTAGATGCATTATCATGAACATTTCTATCTCGTGTAATAATTTACAACTCATTTATTAGGTAAGGGAGATTTGGTGGGTTGCGACATGAATACGCATTTACAAGCTTACAATGGCTCGGGAACGGGTCAGAGTAATAATCCAGATGTAGTCGTCAAATCCAGCAGCGATGTTAAGGTAACGTGGAATGTTTTTTTATCTAAATCACTACACCGTATTACTGCTGATTCATTTATAAGAAAATTAGGTAGCGAACCCATTATTGAAATACTTTTTGCTATCTTTATACTATTATAAACAATATTTTAATGGTAAAAATGAAATAATACCCTTTTCATTTTTACTATTAAAATATTGTATATAGTTTGAAATATTTTTAGTAATATATATAATATTTAATTAGTATATTATAATTGTTTTTTTTTTATATCAACAGGCTCTTACGTATTGTGACTTAAAATGTATACACATGGGCGGTTTGGCTGAAGCCTTGCGATTGTACCCTGAGTACCAGCAAGAATTCATTCACGATATCCAACATGATCTAACTTACAACTTACGAGAAGGGTACGAGGCAGAACAAGAATCTGATGGGAACGGTCACCCCTCACTCACACTGCCATCGATATCTGAAGATGATGAGAATGCTGCAGAAGATACAGCACTCTCTCCAAAGAAAACGCCAACGTCCAACACAAGTAGTCCACGTCATGCAAAATTCAGGTACTTTTCTGTACCAGTCTCATCAAAATTTTTAGCAATCGCAAGGTTCCTCATGTGTATCATCTTTGAAAATATGCGTTAATCTTTTTGTTAGTCGTCATCATCAACATTCATACTAAGCTCAACACGTATTTCAATAGTAATCAGATCAGGTTTCAGATATAACTTAAGTTAAACAAAAGGTAGTATTTTAAGTTGTCAAAAAAAGTGTCTCCGTTTTAAAAAGCGTGCACAAAATATAATTTCACTTTATTTTCATTTAATTTCGACTTAACAGTTAATATAGCGTAAAACATAATTTTACAATTGGTCAATTTCATACGCTGCCTTATGACAATGAGTGCTCGATAACACAGAACTATTGATTTTCAGACTGGAAGGACAACGGCTTACACACCGAGAATTACGTGAAAGAATAGAAAGGCAACGCTCCGTAGCAACGCCTAAACTTAGTCGAACCGACTCCTTGGAAGGTCTAAATTTAGAAGTGCACAATACAAGATCGTCGGTCGATAGACTTGACACCCAAGTATCAAGTTTGCATCATGATGTAGCGGCGCTCAGTATGGAGGCAAGTCTAATGATATAATTATGTTTTTCAGGTGTCGACTGTTAATTTGCTGAAAACCACACATAACAAGAACGCAAGCCTAATTAACTAGTCTGCATAGTTTTGCAATCGTACACCCTGAGATGGAAGAATCTAATAATTCTAGAAATTGGCAAACTTATTACACGTTCATATATGTATACCTGAAAAAGCTGTATAATATTATATTAATAAGCATTTATGTCCACCACTTTTACATTATCTTGGCATGCGTCCAAGCATAATTGAAAACTTGTGAAAATACTAAATCCAAAGAGCACTCGTTATTTTATACGATCGAGGATTCTTGTGCGCTTAACGTCATTAAATTGTTTTATTTTAGAAAAGAACAGTACTGTAATAGTAGTTTAAGTATTTAATTTTCATTAACAGGTGCGTAACGCTATACAAGCCTTACAAGAGATGACAGGTCCTCCGCAATGGCACGCAGCACATTCCAATCCAAATCTACAATGGAACACTCCACCAAATCAGCTAGCTCGAAGCTGTAGCCATCCTCCTGACGTATTCTGCTGGGATCAGGTTGGTACAGATAAATAAAGATTTCAAATAAACTAACTACCCGTTCAGACTATAGTTACATTTATTTCCTAACAGGACAGACCACAGACACCGGAACGACCTAAAGTACACAGGAGTACACAAACTGAGCCATTCCTACATAGCGTTACGCAGTACATCATGGAACATCCAGCAACTGTGATGCTTCTCTTAGGCATTGATCCTATGGCAAACCTCGGTCCTGTGATTGCACCTACTGTCGATTATTATGCAGATACTCGCGGTAGGCGACCTAGCACACTTGAGCAAATTGTAGAATCTGAGCCAGGAAGTCAAACACCATCGAGTACGACAAGCGAAAAGTTCGAACCGACAAAAAGCCCCAGCGACAGCACTAAAGACCTCGAGGTTCATATCGATATACCTTCGCCAGAGAAAGAGAACAAAAATACACATGCAATTTTAAAACGCAATCGCTATTCAACGAGCGACTTGTGTGAAGAATCTGAACGGTTGCTTGCGACAAAGTCAGCTCATCCGAGCACACGCAGCCTGAAGTTTAACATCAACAGTTAAGTTAATAATTCCATTTCGTGTTAAAACATGCTCACTAGCCTTTAGACTTTCAATTATGAATGCCATTAGTTTAATTGTAAATTTGGTTACTTTATACTTAATCTTGTAAATGTACTTTATTTGTATTAAATTACTTATACTATGTAACTTTTATCTTGACTTTTCTATCAACGAAACTATCTACATTTATCAAAAAAATATTTTTTAATAAGTATGTAGGCACGTACATACATCTATGTACGTAGATAATTATTGATTGTACATATCAAGTTCTTTGAGGCAAGTTGTATTGTTAGGTTAGGAGTTAAATCTACTTCATCTAGTCATTGTATAGGGAATAAAGAGAGAGACATGTTAGGAATTATTTGTGACAAGAATTTGAACATTTCTGACAAAGGAAATTTATATAATTAAGTTGATTATTTATGTTAACATATCAATTTGCTAAGCATTCATTGGGTAAGATGAATATACATGTATAAAAATGCAATAATGCCACCTAAAAGTATTCAAAAAAAAATGATGACGCTTAAGAAGTTATAATCTATTATAAATGCACATTCTTGTAAGACAATACTTAACGTTGTGTGTCAAAATGCATTCTGATCTCAAATACTTTTTTTTTACGTATTTTAAATTTTATCAATCAGAAAACGACAAAAAAACTTACTTAACTATCAAACATTGTGTATACTTTTATTTTTTCTTTGAAACGGTTACTAATAAACTCAAATTAGCGCAGTCATTCAAATTCTATAGATTTATAAATAATTAGAAATTAACTTTAACATAACATTTTCTATTTAGACACTTTTGCATTTCTCCTGTGTGGCAAATATAAAAGTACCGTACATAAAAGTATCTCTATGAATATTACTCACTGTTAAAAATAAACTTAATTAAAATATCCCCTGACACTGAAACGCGTTTTTATGTAACAAATTAAGTTTAATATTCCTCTTCGATGAAGTGTTTCAGAAAATGTTTACAAATTACCTTTTTAATTTACAACAAACGAATAGAAAACATTCATGTGACCGGCGTTGGCCGCGCGTCGTATGCACGTTAGGTTTTTTGTATCGAGTTCAGGGCAAGTCAGCTTCCTTGGGCCTTGAACAATGCGAGTTTAATTTGAGTTCTGTAATGCTTAAAAATAAATTGTGTAAAATGTAAGAAATTAAGCGAATGTTGACGCCAAGTCAAGCACATCGCAACGAAACGCAAAATTGTTATTCCTGTTGCTACGCGTTATCGCGCTTTCGACTCCCATCGCCTGAACTTGGACATATGAAGTTGTCAGAAATGACCCCCCCCTCCCCCTCCCCATGATCAAAAAGGATATTTAAAGTATGAGCTGTTTTATTAACTCAGTGTACATCGTTATTATGCTATAATATTTCAAAAATCCCCTTCATATTTTCCTAATTAAGGTATATTATTTATATTTTATATATTATTTCATATTTTTACCATGTTTGATTACAAGATCTTCCTTCTACCTACCTACTGTTTATGTAAGAATTTTAGCCATATAATGGAGATTCTTGTGCTTTGAAGAACCCAAAATCTGATAGATTTTACTTTTAGGAGAGATTATGAAAAATTGATATGCACTAGTGATATGAATACATACATATATTATTGACTTTTTTAACACATTTTTTTCTTTTGTAATCTTTTTAAAAGGATAAGGATCGATAAAAGTGTTTTTGAAACACGACTCGATTATCAAATAATTATAGGTAATGCATTTTCTAAATTTGTGTATCCATAGGTTATTATACTGATGTAACTGATGTTCGCGTATAAAATTAAACACATATTTGTGCTCGTGGGGAGAATGTCATAAGAGCGAAAACTTCTGAACGAGCTAAAGCAAAGTAACTTCTCCATTGTTTCCTTTATTACACAATATTCTCTAGCAGAATATTCTCTGTAGGTAGAGCTCCCACAATGTAAAAAACAAACATGCTCTACTGAGTGGGCTTAATTTGATTTGTCCCATTCCGAAGTAATACCTTTTATGCCACTTACAGAGGATTTTGTAACCTAACTCACTAAAATGTATAAAACAAAAGGTGATGATCAATTGGAATAAACTCTCTTAGTGGGTTTTTAGGTGTCGAGTGTTTAAATGTATTTCATTTTAAATGGAGTATAAAATATCGTAGTCGTAGCAAATAAGGGCCAAGAATGGAAACGCTTACTAGAATAATTGAGTATAATGGTGTACGTACGTTGTATAGAACCCATGAATGTGATATGATGTTGAAACACGTGCAGTGCCTAAAGTCTCATTTATTTATTTATTTAATTCTGTATCTTTTTAATAAAGTCTAAACTATATTACTTAGCGTTACGATTATGCGTTTCGAATATATTTTGTACATATTGAATCTTAATCTTGTAGTACAAAATTAGTTACCATAAACTTTAATAAAGACAATTTGATGTTGATATTGTGTTTTATTATTTTGAAACGAATAATAGACCCTTACTTTACTTTTAATCTAAATAGCTACCTCAGCTGAGTAATGAATACTTGTCAAAGCAGAAGGACGCCTGCTATATAAGAATTACGTTCGTGCTGAGAAAATAGAAACGTTCTGAACGTAAGTATAAGTCCTGAATTACTTGATACTTCAAATTATCAAGCTTTTTTTATAAAAGCTGGGGTAGACGAACATACCTGAAGGAAAGTGACTACCGCTGCCCATAAACTCAGGAGTCACAAACACGTTGCCGGTCTTTTGGGAAGGAGTACACTCTTTTCTTAAAGAAGGTCTTTCTTGACTCGGTCCAGATATTCCGCAGCAACATATTAGTTGTGCGAGGCAAAAAGTGTCTTGAAAACCGCACAGTGGTGGAGCGCCAATTATCCGTTATTCCTACTATCTAATTATCTATTATTATGACATCAATAATTAAATTAAATTAAAGTTAAAAAAATGTTTATGAAATGTGTCAGATTTGCAAGACTTGCAGCGACCAGTCGCCAAAGGTGAATTCCAACAATAAAAGTTCTGATACTATATCTATTGCCGCTCCAAATACTCTGTTTTAAAAAGTCAATCTGTAATATGTTCAGGACTAACTCTAAATAGGTAACTAAATTGTAAATTGTTATTGATCGCAAGTAGTCGCTCGGCGCTAGTCGGCCCGCACGCTGCACTATTGTCGTGAGTCGGCGCGAACGGAGTCGCGCGACATCATGAATGGGAATGAATGGGAATGTACGAGCCCTAAGGTACTAGTACTACATGTACTTTCTAAAAAAAACTAAAAACTTCAAAACCTCATACTTTATGTGTATAAAAATAATAGTTCCTACAGAACTATTTAAAAAAAGAACATTACCTATGTTATAATCAATTATTATTACTCTATAAATTTTATGTGGCTAAAACTGTGCTGTATAAAATGTTTTCCTGTCACATTTAATGAATAAACAATGCCAAATATAAATAAAGGCCTTGCAGCGCTGAAGGAAGTTGTAAACGTTAAGAAAATAAACGCATTGATCATTTACAATTTGAGGTCGAATAATCTCGTTTCTCAATTCATATTGTAAATAAATTGTGCCTGGCGTCGAACATTCTAAAATACACAACATACAAATTAGGCTAATAAAAGAAATCCAAAATTCAGTTTCTTTTGTTTGTTACTTTGTTTGTTACTGTGTTACTACATAAAAAGGCGCTAGCACCACGGCAATTTTGAGTTAGTCACTTAACATTAGGTATATCATAAAAAAATAATGTAGAGGGAATTGTAAAGGTCGTCTGATCCCAAACTAGGCATGGTAACCAGACTGCTGATAAACATACTTATATATTTTTTAAATACATACATATATTTACATACATATTATAGATAAATTACATTCAGACAAAGGATGAATGACCGTACTCATCACACAATATTTGACTTGGGTGTAAATCGAACCCATGACCGCCGGCTTAGCACTCAGGGTCACTAACCACTAGACCAACAGGCCCGTCAAAGAACACATAATACACAATATATATATATATATATATATATATATATATATATATATATATATATATATATATATATATATATATAATTATATGTGTATTATAAGAACATATTACGTCAATCACAAACAAGAAAGAAAATATTTACGAACTCTAATGCAAACAAACTAGGCGTTTGATGTTATTCTAAACGTACATTAAATATGGATGATTTGTCTACAAATCCAATAACAGTATATGCGAGCACCTTTTAAAATAGGATATCTGTAAGGTTGTTTATTTAGGGAAACAACTTCTAATTCTATAAGTAGACTTGCTGCTAGAAATTCCAGCTTCTGAAAGAGAAGCTACCATTGCACCCACTAATCAACGTAATAACTACAGCATAGAAAGAATAGATTAAACCATAGAAATAAATCATATATTTCAATATGTGCTGATGCAATCGCTACATTAAGATAGGTGAGATTTTTTTATTAAATCTAATTGAACATTTATTCTCCTATATCGTCTGTATGTGACGTCATCGTTAAAAAAAAGTAACTATACATCTTGTGATAAACTGAATGATACTGGGGATGGATTCAATGCTGTGGATCTCCGTATAACGAAGAAGCATGTAGGATTTTAACGTTTTGTTGTCTTTTTTCGTCCGTAAATTACAACGCGATACTAATAACTTACAACAATTACCCCAGTTTTAACGCTCAAAAAGCTATCACCTATTATCGATTGTAAAACAAAGACTGCATTCTCTATTCGTGTAAATTTCAAGAAAGTGTTCTACCAAAATCTAAAGCGAACTCGACTGTGCACCAACTTTTCTTTTCGCGGTAAGCTCTTACAGCAAAGTAATTATTTACCCAATGTTTTTAATTAATCCCGCTAGGAAATACTGCTCCTTTAGTGCCATTAGCTATCATTAGCTTTTATACAAGTTTATAAAAGCTGCCAGTTCACTTTAGGAAACGATAAGAAACGCACCTAAAATACAATAAT